CAGTGGATGAATACTCAATCGCATCACTGTACGGGGCTCCATCTAATATTGTCTGAACGCTCGAGCATACCAACATTCGGTTTTTTTACTGCTTTCTAAACTAATTGACTTTTGACTTGATTTATCGCATGTCGCAAAGGGTTACAACCTCCACTTGTTACACGTCATAATTTGTCAAATACCAAATTAATAAGTCTTATTTTAAACTATTATCCGCAGTTGCAACTGTTTCCGTCAACCAAAGGGTGACTCATGGGAAGTTTTTCAGCTTTTCACTTTTGAATGGTTTCGAATTTTGGCCTGGTGTAAATTTTCCCATTAGCTGCTAATTCTCTTGTGCATACAATTTCCCTCGCTGCGGTTCACTGCAGCCAACCAAAATCTTTTGATAAATCCTTGAACTGCTGGCGCTTTGGGGTGGTGGTGCCAGAGCAGGGAAATATGCTCATGTTGTTTGACGTATGCTTTCTCCGACCGCATGTCGCCTTGACCCACCCAAGAGCCAGTTATACCCTGACAAAGAGTAATCCGTAAACAAAGCAAATAATAACAGTATTAAAACACGCTGAATAATAATTTCCATAATTTCATTTCTACTCATGCTAAATCTGTTAGTTTCGACAGCTAGTTAATCCATGCAGGAGGCTTGTTCGCGACCCTTTGCTGACGCTTGAATTTCCGCAGAAAAGCGCCACGGTCAGGAGCAGGGCCCATCGAGACCCCTGTCCCAGGTTGCTGTTGGCAATCCATGGGTTTTTTGACGATCAGTGCAGCAGAGAGTAGCTATTTCGTCTTCCTTTCTGGAAGCGTTCATAAAATGCACCAAAACGATAGTAGCTCTGGCTTCTCACTCTCGAGAAACAGCGGTTATACGCGGAGGCTTTCTCAGAGGCTAGAACTTGACCGAGAAGCCTGAATCCAGCGATTCGTCTCAGAAAACCCATTTCAACCAGTTGTACCTTCGATCAGACCATGAACGTATATGAGATGGAGATAGAAGTCAAATTGAGGAAGAACAGCTTCGTCTTCAGACTCAGCACTGCCTTGATCACAGCTTCTCTGTCACATTGAGAACACCGCCGCCATCCATCCCAGTTCGTCAGGCGATCCCAACACAACTCCATCTCCCGCATAGTCCAGGTAGGTGAACTCCTTCACTACTCCACTGCGGAGCCCAACGGGCGAGAAGGTGATAACATGATAGGTTTTAGACACGCTCACATGTTTGCTGGCCTCGCCACACTCGGCTACTAACCTTTTCAGAGAGCACAAGAGATCAATTTCTGAAGATGCCAACAAAGCAAGGTTGTTGGAAAGCAGCAAAGCTCTAGTTTCGACATCTCTTACTCTAACGCATTCGACAAGATGGATGGCCTAACTTTCTATCCATATACCGCACAAACAGTAATTTATAATAATTATATGTACTGATTAAAGTTAGTGGCATATGATTTAGATTGAGGCTCGATTCTATGACCTTTCGACCGTAAGTCTGACGCTCCGGTGACAGAGTTACCTTGACTTGGTAAAGAGACCAAATCTCCTCATAATTGGACACAGCAATCTGGATATAGGCAACAAGAACTGGCTTAAGACATATGCAAAGGTTGACTCTCTCTGCAAGATGTAGTAAGTTGCCATTCACAAGGAGTGGTGTTATTATTTCCCTTCTTATTTTTTACTATATGCCAACTTCCATTGATTTACTCCAGTACTGTCATACTTAATGAGGATGTATGTCGTTATACAGATTATATAAGCGCAATATTTACGACGGTCGCGGCTCCATGGCACTTAAGCAATTGACTATGCATGGATACATTCAAGACAACGTCATTAACTAGGGTACGACTCAGGCACCATCATAAGGTTGTCACCGTATCTAGCGTTGACCAATGAAATACAGATCGGAGTACGCCGTCCATTCATGCATCTCAAACGAAAAGCTTCAGTTTCAAAGTGACCGGAATGCTACTCTTCGCTGTGTGTCCTCATGTACTCTCTTCCTGGGGTATCAAAATTTAGAGTAAGTGGAATTGTAATAGTTACTTTGCTCTATTCTGTACAGATTTTAGAAGTAACTCAGAGTTTCGTGTTCATATAAGAAAGCCATTTAAAGACAATAACCGAAATTTCGTGAGTGTTTCTGCTCCACCACCATATAGTTTTAGGAGGGAACATTCTGCTAAGATGTTCCGTGATTCGGTTATCGCTTCTACATCCACGCACCCTTACTCGAGAGCTATTTACCATACAATTAAATATTACTATAATGAACTGAAGAAAATCAAGGACAATTTTGAAACTATATGAAAATAGCACGTGTGCGTGATTATGGAATATTTTGCGATCCGTCTGCCTGAGTCAGCTGTGTATCAGTTACCAAAATTGGACGCCATGTTGCGGACGGATTGCCCAGCATTTGTTTAATATTTCCGACTTCCAGGTTCAAGCTAAAGAACAGCTTGCATATATTTTTCGTCGGTTTCAACATCTTCCATTGAATGATACCTCAAAACACACGCAAGTGACATGCTGTACGTGAGCTTTCATAACTTATATGTATGACCATTGTAGCATTACCAGAATTCATGTTGGTGGATGGTCCCTTCTCTCAAGTGAAAATCCTCTGCTTCGGCTAGTGAAAGTGGCAACTTCCGCTGACGGCATTCATTATAAAGCTATCGTCAAAAAATCAGCCATTTGGAATTCCTCTTTTTTGTACTCTTCCTCCAGACGCGAGGTCCCCGTGTCCTCAAACTAGTGAGCACCTCGGTCGGGAGTGAAAAGGAAGAGTACCACTTAGCACTGAAGCGGTCGCGTCGATTCTCGGTCATCGGCTGAATGCTTTTTTGCCTTCAGTGAAGGCCTCGGTAACCGTTTAAATACAGCTAGCCCTTCGACGACCGGACAAGACTCGTGTGGGCCACGCCGACCAGCTGCAGATTCGCGCGCTGCTCGTCGCATCGCTATGTACATAATGGAACTCAACGGAACCACCTACCCCCTGTGCCGTCGTCGCTGAAGGCCGTTGTTCTTGTGGGAATGGCGTAAACAAACCACCAGTGTCAATAGCTGAATTCAAGAACTTCTGTTGCGCTTCAATGAGGGTCAAATGCCGCCCGCGCTCCCTACCTCATTCTGCCGTTTGTGCTGCCCTCATCACATTTCCGTTCCCACTAAAACTATCCGGAAACAGTCCTATTCCATTGGCTCAATATTAACCTATTGATTTTGCACCACCTGGTCGGGCCGTGGTCGATGTAACCAGATCTTTCTGTATATATTTTGCACGTGCTCATCTATGTTTACTTAGCAGATTCATCAACAGGCGCTTTCTTGTCCCAAGAACATCAACCAGGCTACGTTAGATCCAATGCTTATTGGCTTTCTGAAGTTCATTTGTATGAAAAGACAAAAGACAGCATTAAACAGTGTTTTCTCAGAAATTCATGTTTTTGCTGTAACGTGACTGCAGAAACGAAATTGCCATGGAAGAAAGAAGAACAGTTCAATTCAACTCTCTGGCCAGCCCGTTAGAGCAAATAGACAAAGAGGGACTGCTAACTGTCGTAGTCACGGACCTCCAAAAAATGATGATTAAAATTTTGGTAAAAAAATAGTGCAGCAAAAGGCCGAAAAAGGTTAACAGAAGAATGCATATTCAACCGCATGAAATTCCATGCTGCAAAGCGAGTGCTAGAATTCGTGAATGAGTTTCAGAAACGACTTGCTTCGCTTTTTAATGTTAGATGCTTGCTAATAACTGTCAATCCATGTTAGTTAACGAGAAGATCTTCTGACCCCGGTTAGCGATCTGCTTCAGTAAAAGACTGAAAATAATTGAATAATATTAAAGTTGGCAGGCAGCTGAAGTTTTCTGTGCTCAATCTAGGGTCTTGCTACATATCTTTATTAAAGCTCTGCAGGAAGAAAAAAAACAAAAAAAGTATAGAATGGCCAGGCATGGTGGGGGTTGGGGGGGGAGGAGGCTTGGATTCCTGGCATGAAGAAATCAGGCCAGAATCTCTTTGGTTCAGCATCAGTCCATTTTCTTGCAACAGTCAGCTCGTTTTCATTTCAGTTGGAGCACACTTACAGTGACATCACAGACCCCGTTTAGACCACCATCCAGTCATAGCATTATTCGTGTTATTCCCACTGAACACTTTTCAATGCGTCATTGTTTAGTTTATAGTTGCTGAACTGGCATCACGCATATGGTTCATGTTCGAGGTCGGTGCATCACCACTGGAAACCGCACCGATTGAACACCAACATTAATACCACAACAACATTTTCCAGAATATGAACATCTTTGATTTTATAAGTTATTAATGCCGCCTCTCCCTTTTGTTGATTTCACAAAGTTCGTTTTCTGCTTCG